GTCTAATTTCATGAAAATATCTACAACTATATTAAAGTTATGATAATAAAACGATTTTTTTCTGAAAATTTTAGCACCCTCTAGCTCAAAACTTAAGAGGTTTAGGACATATGTTCATAAAACATTTCTTCCTAAAATGAGCTAAGGAATCATATCCTGTATTTTTCGCCATCAATTAAATTACACCCTGTATTCCAAAAACTGTTTCAAATCTAAACTGGTAAAGTTGATACATCACTTGTTCGTTCAGTCAAAATAATGTGGAGTTCCTGAAAACCATTGCAGAAAAGCCTCAAAATCTCACATTATTTTTCTGAACCTAGAGATTGTTTCGAAATGTATTGATAGGGCAAACAAAACCTTCAAAAAACGGATTGCTCAAAGTGACTACCGTCAGATGAATGTAAGGCTACAGTCTCTTCACAAATTGTGTGACTTTCAATTACACCTATATTGTTGCATCCAACAATAATTATCCCATCTTCCAAAACCGCCACATTTTCCAGTTGATTAGTAGCCATAGTAATGATTGCTAAAAAATATGAAACAACTTTGATGCGGCAAAGAAAGTTAGTTCAATTAGATGATTTTTTGCTCATGTTTATGAAGCATCTTGCATACATTTAGAAACCTATTGTGGAGCCCAGAAGGTGCTGTCCTGAATCAAATAATTTTTTCTCATTTGTAAACAGTTTTAACAGATACCGATATTTTTTTAGAATGTTTGAATACTTGAAAAAAAGAACTTGATAAAACACCCAAACAAGCATGTTTTCTTGTCCAAACGTTCAACTGACTATAACAGTGCAATAAATAAATATATTAGGATATTTGTTTTAAACGACAATTTTTGAAATATATTTCGCATGGAGGTATTGTCTTAGTTGTGTAGAGTTACAGTACCTAATGGACAAAAATATATAGACAAATATGGATATTTACCTAAATACCTTTAGAAAACGAATTCATACTTCATTGCTCCATAAACAAATGCGTTATTAGTAGAAGAACTAAATTCCTTACATTATCTGCAACGAACACAATACAAGTCTGAATATAAGCACTTTTTTGTGAGGTACAAAAATATGTAGACAAATTCTTTTCAACATTAGTTTAGTACAGTTTCGTGTCAGAAGAGGATTAGTTTGTGTTCATCAAGTATTGTGGAATAAGTTGAGTGATTTTAAGACCATGCCGCGTGGTCCAGAAATTTCTTTCGATGTGAAAACAAAGATCATTGAGTTATACAAAGATGGTCAGCGTCAAGTCGACATTGCCAAAAAATTGAAACTGAAGCGTAAAGTAGTTTGGGCAATATTGAACAAATATAAACAAAAAGGTATCTTGGAAGCCTCTAAGAGAAGTGGTCGGCCTAGAAAAATAAATGCTAGATCAGTTAGGTTAATAAAAGTAATTTCATCCAAAGATCCGTTTAAAACCCCAAGACAAATAAAAGCCGAAATCGAGACAAAATGAATTGTCAGTGTTTCTACGAAAACTATAAGTAGAAGATTAAATGATTTGAAGTTATTTGCACGTCACCCGAGTAAAAACCCGAAGGACCGATTACAATTTGCACGGATGCATCTTGATTGGAGCATCTGTGACTGGAAGAGGGTATGTTTCAGCGACGAATCCAAGTTAAATATGTGCGGATCAGATGGTGTTCATCACGTTAAACGTCCTAGTGGACAAAGATTGAACCCCAAGTACTTTTTGCCCACTGTCAAATGGAGGCGGGTCTGTTATGGTTTGGGGGTGCTTTTCGGTATTTGCGATGAGACCTTTACATAGAATAGATGGCATTATGGATAAGTTTGTATACACAGACATACATGTCATGTTAGCCTATATGGAATACAATATGCCCTAGATCAATCTTCCAGCAAGATAATGACCCGAAGCACACATCAAATCTCGCAAAGAAATTCTTTCTGGATAAAAAAATACCAGTTCTCAAATGGTCTTCACAGTCTCCCGATATAAACCCCATTGAAAATGTTAGATAAGCAAATACGAGATGAAAATTATTCAAACAACGATGAATTTTTTGCTGCTTTAGAGCAAAAGTGGAGACAGACTAATAAATCTTATATCAAGAAACTTCTACAATCTATGCCGAGACGATGCCAGGAGGTGATTGATAATAATGGTTATGCTACAAAATATTAACACAAACATGGTTGGTTTTCTATAATTCAATGAACTTTGCTTCTTTTTTCTATAATTGTTTTGCTTTGTCTATATATTTTTGTTCTTCATAGTTACAGTCTTTTTCAATTAATTTTTTATTGAAGGAAGTCTAATGAATTTATTTATGTATAAGTGAGTATTATGCTACAACGAATTATGTATACAGGTTGGTGTATTAATGAAACAAGTTAAAAAAAAAATGTATATATACTTTTGTCCATTACTGTATATCAAGGTTCCTTAAGCTATCCACGTAAACAGAGAACAAATAATTTCGAAACTTGTTCTTCAAAAACATGACATACATCCCATTGTTCGCTAACAAATGTAGTTATTTTGCCGTTACGAACGACTGTCTAGGCAACACCTTCTGTAGCTTTATAGCCTTTTTACTGCGTACATCCATCAGTAAGCAACTGCAATGAATTTACTACCTGGTAAAAGTTGTGAGATGTCATTTATGAAAAAAGAAAAGAAGTAAGATTTTCATTAAAAAGCAACAGCTGGACGTTAGCACATATGACAAACATCAATAGGATGGATTAATATCTAGGCAAAGATCGATTTCTAGTTATTACTACTATTACAGTCATTTTAGGATTTGTTGCGTAGAGTTAGCTTTCTTCAAAATCATCTATAGTGCGTGATGGTGTTTTCGTCTATGGATGGATTTTAGTAAACTTGATTAGATAATATTACTGGTGATGGAGGCAAGCGGTTTTACCGAAAATTGTCTTAAATTTCGATTTTTGAATGGGATACATACAAAATAATGCCTTGTTTCTTTGTCTCATGTTTAGGAAATACATTTTCATGCAATATTATGGTCAATGATATGCTGATATTCCAGGATATGATTCGCCAGATCTTATATTACAATTAAAAAATAAAAAACTGTTTTTATTTTTACTTACCACGCCTACCCCGGAGAGGAGGTATTGTAACCGCGAAAAATTTCGTAAACGGTATATACGGAGAACCCTGCCGTGGAACTGACCGCATCGCCGGCAGGGATCGCATGTTATAGTATCGTACCTAATATCAATGACGTGTCAACATACTCGACAAATTTTTTATCTTCGGCAGTCTTGCGAATGTTATTTTTTATTTTAGCATATTATGGGAGGATGTACGCTATTGCGTTACCAGTAGCGCCGCTACAATCGTGCCTTATGATACCTTCTACAAAAAATTGGTACGCCACTGACATTTTTCTATGTGACCAGCAACGAAAAGGTTTTGTCGTTGATAGTAAACATGCTACAGACAAGAAAATAATAGTAATATGATTTAAATCAAGAGATGGTGAAGCTAACTAGAAAAAAATACAATGTCTCGAGGAAAACATCAGAAGACCTGTTTGCAGGGACATTTAAATATGTCATGCTTTATAATATTTAAAGTATTTCAAAAGATATAAACGAAAAACGTTTCCTTAAAGTCACTGCACCCTGAAGATAAAAAATTGAGTCAAGTCGCACATATTTTTTCTTTATAAACTTATATGAGGATTCATATCCCGGAGTATTAGCAGATCATTAATGTAATTTGGTAATCTTGGAAGTAATAGTAGTTTAGACATTTGAGTTCCATACAGCATTTTGACTTGACGATGATTCAAAGTTTGGGTTCACAAAATCTGATTTCAACTAACATCCCTTTTTGTGTCTTTAGGTGAAGCACGTGTTGTTTTTCAATGTGAAACATGTAAGTATTTTGTGTCTCTCTATATCTTTTAACACATATATATTATATTTAACATATCGTATTTTATACAATAACTACTTTTCTCAGAATTTCATCTTTGGAATTGCCATTAAAGAACCCGCATTAATTAAAACAATCTCGGAAAAATAAATAAAATATATGGCGTACGGCATCGCAGGACAAAATTATAATAAATAAATAAATTATCTAGCATTCAGGCACGATCAACCAAAGAAAGTATGACATGACCGTTTTTTTTGTTTCTTGGCCTCTCTCTTTCTGGTTAATTATGCCCTTATTTAAATTTCAAAACAGCCAACAATAGGTCGAACAGTGTCATACCGATACCAATGGGGTCATTTTTAGTCGCATGAGATTTTGGTAAAATACATGGCAGAACGTTGTCGGGAAATTCAATGACGTTTCAGTAAGTTAAATATGAAAAAATCGTACTTATAAATATCAGCGGCGTTTGAGCTTGTCCGATTTCGTATAGATAGGATTTGAAAGTTTTGGTACACGCGAATGATGATCACTGATAAAGAAAATAGAACACCCAGTAAACATGATGATTTGAATGACATTTTGCACACAGTTCATCATAAGCAAGATGAAATCATGACTCAATTTCATATTCGCCCAGTTGTCGGGCTGGCTTGTGATAAGTTGATTTTTTTGACTTCTTAAGGTATCTCATCTGACAGTCTAATCAAATTAGCATTACTGAAAATCCGCAATTTATTGTGTAGATTTCTTGGGTAGATGAAAATTGATAATTTTTGTTTTTTTCCATAAATCTAGGTAACTATTCCACCTATACTTTGACTTGAGTCTTGCTGATTCCGAAAACTGCTGAAAAGCAGTACTTGTAGAAAGAGTTTTATGTACCTATAGTGTCCGTTAACATGTGATGACATTTCAACGCAGATGGTATCCCGACCATATTATTTAACCAATACCTTTGACCTTGGACTCTGATATATGCCGTCATTTTTATACCCCTGACGTAATTGAAAGAATGTTGTTCTTCAAAAATCTCATGCAACTAAAGCATATTCTTACCCCCAACTTGGCGTATCCTAATTACAAAACTAGCTCACCTAGCTATTCGAATATTCCGACTCGCATTTTAAAATTTGCTGGTAAACCTTGTCTATCCGTTCATTGAGAATCTTGACACTCTTATCCGGTATCGTAGGTAGAATATCTTTCACTGTATCACTATTTTGTTTCTCGAAAAGAGCTCTCAAGAGATAACCAATATTCCCCTGCACCTTCAGTTGCTTGATCTTGTCAGCAGTATGCCTCCTGAAGATACATAAGTTCTCCAAAAGAATAGAATGATAGATCTCGTATTTCTTCAACAATCTATAGCCATGTAAAAGTCCAGACTCGTTGTCTAAAAACACAAGTAGGCTGCTGTCAGACTTCTTTGCTAGGTTATGTGCCGGGGCGTCCATGATGTTCGCATTCCATTGGTAGTTGTAAAGATTATTCACTATCCTGTCAAGGTTGGCCGTCAAGTAATCAAAAATGATCAAATCTGACCACTGAGCTAGCTCGACAAAATTTCTGATAAGATCGTCAGGATCCAGTATCTTATTTTTTGTAATATTCATCACGTCAAACTTGTTCAAGTGCCTTTCGGCAGGTTTGAAGACTGCAGGGATGTTAGCGGCATTGAGGTTAGAAATGAATTGAGTCAGAACAATAGGTCGATTTGAGTTCCACTGGGCTGACGCAATCTCGTTCCTGATGTTTTGCCACAAAGGCTGCTTGAGGTCTACAACGCTGACTGTGCTCGGAGCTAAATTGGGCAGGTCCAGAATCTTGGCAAGGTAGAAACTAAAGAGTTCTCCTTGGATCTGGTCAGTGTTCTGCCTATACCTCACACAACCTTTTAAACCATCTGCAAATGTCACTAGACGATTCTGCATTCGTCCACAGCCATTCTCCATTTTGATGACGACAGCTTTCTTCACATAATCACCCCACAGTTCGTGCTTTTCTTCCCGATAGCCTTCGGGTAAGGCTTTTTCTACGTTCTTGCCCCAATATATCCCATTTTCCACTAATTCTTCATCGGAATGTTCATGATTGTTCACAAAAGACACGGTAGGGTACTCGGGAGTACTACTTTCACTCTTAAATGCGAAACTATTGTTCAAAAATACTGTCCGTATGGCATGAACGTTATTCGCAACGCTACTGTTCCGAACTTGAACAGCTGGACTTCTAAAATACATCAGAGGTATCAAAATCCCAATTGAAAGCCCGACACTGAATGCAAAAATGGCACTTATCAGACACAAGTTTTTATAACCGAAAGTACTATAAGCCTTGGAATGCAGAGGTTCCCAAGGCAGAGATTTCTCCATAAGCCCCATAGTATAACCTCCAAAAACACTATCACATATTTGAACTCCAGAGATTGTAGACAAACTGCGGCTAGAGTAAGACGTATTTGCACAGAGTTTCACCTCGTTAGAGGTTATGATGATTGACGTGCAAGTAAATCTGGGAGATATCTGGAACTGTACACGCCCCTTTTTATCCTGGTCATGTAGCTTATCTTTTGCGGCTTTTCCAAAAATGATGTTTTTCTTCGTAAAGCTTCAGCTTCACTGAATATTTCAATCAATGCTGATTTGTTCACAGAAAGGACTGGAATATTTCGGAGCTTATCATCTCAATCTATAGCGAAGAATCAGGAAATGTTGTCATTTGCAACTGTAACATGACCATTTAGTTGCACTTAGGTTTAAACTGTCTTCAGAGCTGAATAGATATGCTCCCGGGGATCATACGGAATTAGCCTGTAGTGTCACTATAAATGTCCCGATCACTTTAAGCTCTATTTGAGCATGTGCACGGTACTGCGCGAATAATCTCAAAACCCGGTACGACTTTTAAGTTTCAGCGATCGTTCTGTTACGTCACTGACGGACCGCGGCACTCTAGTTCGCTCCGTGTTTACGAGTACGCGAGTTGTGGTAAACTGATCTGCCAGGGTAGAGTTAACAATACCGTCCGCTGAAGAGTAGGGCCGTACAGCTTGTAGTGGGATGAATATCTGACATATTTCGATAGAAAGAGAAGCAGTACTGCGATCATTGGGAGCGACAGTGAGGGGAGACGGTTGGAAGAGTGACGGAGAGAGTTGAGGCAGCCGGTCGTACCTTGCCGTGCGGCAATAAAGATAGCACTGGCTGTGCTGCCTGGCTCTCGATATAGAAAAGTGACACTAAATAAAGGGGTTTGATCTTTTTCAGTTAGGATACGGAACACTTGGAGTAGCCACGAGATACTGATGTTAGGTTATCCCAACTATATACTCTGACATTAGACATGTTACACCCAGAAAAAATAATCTTCAATTTCAATATTTCAATATTTAAATCATGCTGAAGCAACAATGTCAGCGTTTTATCTTTATTTTTGTTTGTTGATGTTATCTCTTAGTTTTTGTGAAGAAAGCAGTTTCTGACAGCTGAGTAGTACAGATATTTTTAGTTATTGCTCTTTATCTTTATTAACCACTTACTACTGTTTAGCTTAACAAAATGCCTCGAGCTCAAAGACGTGTTAGCTACTTTGACAGGGGTAGAATTATTGCCTATCGAGATGTTGGTTTGTCCTATCGCAAAATTGACCGCCGTGTTAGTTATACTGCAATGACGGTAATGCGTGTGTCGTGTGTGGATAAAAGAAGATCAATTATGTATACAGCTGCGGGGTCACCCAACACACTATTTATTATATTTCGTGTGAATGTTATCGTTCCATTCTTCAAATAAGACTACCTCATTAAAAAAAAATCAAGTTGAAGAAATCATTCTTTCTGGCTGCAACATTTCTAATGTCACTGAGAATATTTTATATCACTATTTTCCTTGTAAGGATCTATCTGAGTGTGCACTAAAATGTTGGGTCATTTAGTTAAAAAAAGAAAAAAGCAGAATTTGACATTGTTTTAAATGGTGCTTTTTTAATGAGACTTTTATTTAAAGATCAAGCTTTCAGTCTAAAATGACCGAAGGTTAAATTTGTATTCAGTCTAGATATCAACCGATATAGAGGCGTCACCAGAACAACTATTTAAAACAAGAGAAAGGAACCTGCTAGTCGAATCTTTAAAATTAGTTATTCCAGTCGAGGAATCAGCAGTTTCGAATTCAATGTCCCATAAAACATGGTCTTTTATGTTGTTTCGTTCACAGATTTACATACATTATGGAAAATGTTAGACAGTCACTAGTGGCACGTTTTCTGTATCTAAAGAGCTCAGTGACTGATTAAGGATTAATTCTCTTATTTTTGTCAAAGGCAAAATATTCTTGATACTTCTTTGTGCAAAGGTCTCTTCAAACATATTCCAGCAGGATATACCACCCGACTCAAAGCTTGAAAATAAGTAAAGTTTGTCCTATGACAACACTACAATCCATCTAGACTACGCTTACGTTTTTATAAAGTACAGGGTGGCCAACTAAGAATGCGAGGCTTGCGGCAAAAAAATTTCTAACTAAAATATGGAAAATATTTTCAAGTTTTTGAAATGGGGCGTAAGTGCAATCTTGAATCTAATGAAGTGATGTTTCTGTAAATTCCGCTATATTAACCTAACAAAAAAATACCTGATTTTTAAAGTCAAGGATAATCTGAACCTTTTTTGACAGTATTTGCTGTATTTCTAAAAATAAAGTGGTGGGAGGTATTCAATGGTTTCCGTGAAAAGAACACCCCGTATCTTCGAAACGGCTGAACCGATTTTAAAAAACTTGAGATAGTTGAAAAGAGTTATTCTTGGGATACAAACCTTATAATATTTGAAGTTTTATTAGTTTCACGTGTGGCCACTAGAAGGCTTTCTTCGGCATTCCAACAGAAATGATTAATTTTCTCAAAAAAAAATTAAATGCATTGGTGGTATTTAGCTTCATTGTTTATCAACTTTAATTTCCAAAAAAAATAAATAAAATTAAGGGTCTTTTTATGCTCTAAAATCTCTGGTAATACTTATAAAATTAATTTGAAAATTATACAAGCAAATTTCTGAATTGTTTATAAAAAACATCGCATATCTGGCTTGTATCTTTTTATGTATTTGTCATTAGAGAGACCCCCCCCCCCTTTTCATTTAAAACTTTCAGATATCTGCTAAAATCAAGAGCAACGACATGAGTCGCACCATATGACTGGATGAGTTTAATCCACAGTTGCGTGACGTAATCTAAGAGGTCTCCCGTGGATCGCTGATGCCGTGACGGTGATCAAGTCGTGTGCCGTTCAATATACCCCAAAAGCTCCCGATTTATTGTTCGTTTAAAATCCCAGGAGAGATCATTCCCTAAACATCACTTAGTTATCATGGAATGCTGATGAATGTGACTCTACAACACATCTAAGCTCCTTGACGATTTGAAGAGTCCTTCATACTATTATATCACAACAACAAAGGATAAATCTTTCTCTAAGTAAGTTGTGTACCAGTACCATATACATCACCATTTCTTTTTAGTAGCAGCCATAATAATGTACCAGAATAGACAAATACATAATTTTGACAGAAATTATAGCATACCTTTGATAGAGGGACACATTTTTTCCGTTTCGTCTTATTTATCGACCTGTATATAAGAATATATGAATCTATTTATGAATATTAAAATTCAAAATCTATGAAGAAACATAATGAGAGACAAATGATGACAGTTTTCAAGTTCGAAGACCGCTTGGATTTTTTTTTGTGTAGCCTGTGAATGTGTTGGACGGAGATGAATAAGTAGACTGAATTCTAATTTGCATAAAGTTTTACACCGCTGTATAACTTTTCTGTTGTTTTTTGGAGGTTTGCAATGCCACTGTGAAATTGACTCACGCTAAAATAATGTTGAATAATCCAATGGGGGTGAGGGGGGTTCTATTAAGTGATGGCGTTTCGTTTTTATGGGGACTTGTCTTCTGAAAACATATTTTTCTAAGTAACATATAAGCGACGGTTTTTGCAATCGAATATTTCACACTTTCTACCTAAGAATAACATATTACATACCTAGGTTTTAATGCTCGTTACAGCAGCCGCAGTGCCTCGGTATTTAGGCTTCTGCCCTTGCGGGTATACAGGATGTTTTCAAAGTTGAGTCATTTATTTTAACAGAACTCGTCAAAAGAGGTTGATATACCAAAAATCATTTATATAAAAGTTGCATAATAAGAGAGTTAGTTGACGTTACTAAAAATTATTTAAAAAAATCATTATCAAGTTAAAGAATTGTCCCCGTTTGTTTGATTAACGCAAAATCTTGCTCAGCGAATCCACGACTCATTACAAGCTTCGAAAATAAAATCATGTTGCCCGCGAATTAAATCTCAAGCATTTTCATAGAGCTGTTGAAGTTCTTCCACAGTATTGACTGCTTCACGGCCCTCAGAAAAAATTGCAAGGCGTTAAGTCCGGGGAGCGAGCAGGCCAAGAAATGGGTCCATTGTGCCTTATCCATCTCTTCGGAAACTCATTACTCAGATGTTCATGAACTTCTCGTCTAAAATGTAATAGAGTCCCATCATGTAGGAAACACATATTCTGTGTCACATACAGGGTGGCGCATCGAAAACGAAACAGGCGCATTTACTGGCAGCTCAGTTGTTTTTTGGAAAAGCGCTCAGACCCGTCGATTTTGTTTTCGAAGTTTGGAAAAAAATCACGTTAGCACGTGCAGCCCCCTGGGCGGGGGTGACAACAACCCTAAAATCTTAAATGGAAAGGGGGGTCGAGTGATACCTTATTTTAATAATATTACCTTATACTCGCGAGGATATCCTCCAAGAAGAAGTAAAAGGTTGACTGGTATTTGTATCTTGAGCGACATGTCCTGGCTTGTTCCAGCTTGTAGTTGACGTGAAAGTTCCTTCACTCAGCATCACTGACAGTTGTACTCCAGAGCTTACACAGACCGTTCCGTATCTTTACTGGATACAGTTTCTTATCAAATTAGTAAGCATGTCATCCTCAAGTGATGAGGAAACAATAGAAAATAATGGCAAAGACCTGCAGTTCATCGCAGATGAAATTGACATTGCTCCCATTATTTTGCAAGTTCCAAAAATAAAAATGAGAAAGGACGATGCCCTACTAAAGGCTTATTAAAAAAAATCAACAAGATGAAATCAAGATTTTAGAAAAAAACAGATCTAAAAAAAACTGGTAATAAAGCAGTTGAATTGTTAGATTGAGAAAGAAAGTTGCTGAAGGCTATGGAAGGTTAGTGTAATCCTACAATTGGGAAAATTAGAGGTGCCATTAATGGTTGGTAGTGTTCAAAAAGAAGGAAGTGAACTATATACCGAGCGCACTGAGCACACAGTTAGTATTACAGCGCCAGCA